CCAATAAGTAGCCATAGGGGGTTAAATAGTCCAGAGAAAAAAAAGGGTGCTAATCTAATAGCAGTCTTTTATCCTATCATGGCTTATGGGAAACTATTAGCCAAATGCCCTCCTTCTTCACAGAAAATAAATGAGAAGAATTGGATTTAAACTGGAATGCATAACCACTTCAGATAGGCATAAGGAAGCACATTGTATACAACAGTGGGTGCTATCAGGCTAATTTGCAATATTACAAAAACAAAACCCATATAATTCCCTCTGGGAGAAGTGTATATGAATGGGTTTAAATCTGTCTAAGGCCAGATGGCATCTGTGATCCCCTAAAAGCAAAGCAGTCCTTTTGTGGTACTTTTTCTGAATATCCTCTGATGTTCAGAGGCCATTTCATTATGTCCATGAGAAATAAAGCCAGCCACTGTAGAGTTTTACACAAACCATTGGTTGTGATAGAAGGAGATAGGTCACACTCCCATGTGCTAAAGAAAGCAATGTCCTCTAGCTGCTATTCTTTCCCAAAATAATAGCTAGAGTAGTCATTATTCAGTTCTAGCATTGTGTAGGCTCCAAAATACTTTCACAACTGATTTCCTTTTGACTTACATTTGAGCTGTCAGTAGTTCTGATAATCTCTGTTGCATGGCAATTCAAAGCTTTTTCCAATCTGGTTCCATTTTATTGATCTGTCATTGCTTCCTATTACTCCCAAAAATAGACTCTCATCACATCATACTATTCACCATCTCTTGAATACCTAATATCCCTTAACTTTTCTGTGTTTTACCCTACTGTCCTTTTATATCCCTTTTCTGTTTAAAGAACTCTGATTTAGCCTATATTCAAGCCTTTCTTTTGCCTCAGCAGAATTCATTGCTTCCCCTTTGACAACCATATCCGTTTGAAAATGTAATACAATGTATTAATGGCGTGATCTTGAATAAGTATCTGAACTTTCCCGAGTGTTCTTACCTTATCTGGAATACTTTCGTGTCTTTTAGAGAAAATTTAAGAAACCTGAACACCAAAGCATATTATATACAAATGTAATGGATTAATATTAATAATAGAAATGTGAACATAAACATTAATTTACAGTTATAACCAGTCCCTATGGATCTACTTGGTCCTTGAGCACAACAATCTTGTTTTATATACTGTCTTCCCCTAAGCTCTGAGTCTAAGTCTTGATATTTAATCTATCAGATTGAATTGTTTTAAAGTAGGCAGGGGAGATATTATTATCATCATTTTGCAGATTTGAAATTGTGACTCCAAATGCTAAGTGATATAATATTTTAGACATCAAGTATTAGCCACCTTTCCCTGAGTTCACCAATAGATCTTCCAAAGAACCTGTATGACAAAAAATCAGATTAGAAAAGACATAGTTCCAATTTTATAAAGATGAGGATTATAAATGAGTACTATGAATAACTATTTGCTACCAAATTGGTTAACCTAGATGAAATGGGCAGATTCCTGGAAGTACACAACCTCCCATAATTGAAATATGAAGAAATAGAAACTCTGAAAAGACCTATAACTGGAAAGGAGATTGAATCAGTCATCAAATACTTCCCAACAAACAGAAACCCAAGACCAGATGGCTTCACTGGTAAATTCCACCACCCATTAAAAGAAGAATTAACACCAGTCCTTCTCAAATTGTTCCCCAAAAATGAAAAGTAAGAAGTTCTTTTTGACTTCTTCTATGAGGCTAAGCATTTTCCTGAAAATATAATCATATAACGGCACAAGAAAACTACAGAGCAAGATGCCATATGAATATTGATATAAAAGTCCTTTAACAAAATACCAGAAAACAGAACCAAACAGCATATTTAAAGGATTATACACTATTATCAAGTAGGATTTATTCTTAGAATGCAAGTATGCTTCAATATATGAAAATCAATCAATGTAATGCACCACATATATTACCACAACAAAAAGGAAAAAAATCACATCACCTCAATTGACATAGAAAAAAGGTTTGACAAAATTAATATTCTTTCATGTTAAAAATACCCAAGCTAGGAAAAGAATAAACATGCCTCAACATAATAAACACCATACATGAAAAGCCCACAGCTAATGTCATATTTCATAGTGAAATACTGAAAGCTTTTCCTCTAAGATAAGTAATCACAGTAGGATATCTACTTTCACTACTTCTGTTCAACATAGTGCTGGAAGTCCTAGCCAGAACAATTAGGCAAGAAAAATAAACAAAAACCCTACATATTACATCAAATAAACAAAATCTTGTTAAAACTAGTCACTGAGGGCTGGGGATTTAGCTCCGTGCTTCTGGCTGCCTGCCTCGCAAGTGCAAGGTCCTGAGTTTGATCCCCGGTACCAAAAACAAAAAACAAAAAACAAAAACAAACTAGTCAGTAAATTTCACAAAGTTGCAGGATATAAAATCAACACTACATTTCTATACACTAATCATGAACTATTTGAGAAAGAAATTCCATCAAAGTACATCAAATAAAATGCTTAGGAACAAACTTAATAAGGCTAAAGGTATATATACTGCAAACTATAAAACCTTGATAAAAGAATTAAAAGACCCAAATAAATGAAAAGATGCCCCATGAACATGGATTAGAAGACTTAAGTTAAAATGTCAATACAAGCCAAAATGACCTACAAATTGAATGCAATCCTTATTAAAATTGCAACAGTTATCTTCTACAAAAATAGAAAAATCAATTCTAAAATTCATGTGGAATCCAAGAGACCCCAAATAAGCCAAAACAATCTGAAAAATACAGAAGAAATTCAGAAGTCTTACACTTCTTGATTGCAAAACTTGCTACAAATCTACAGTTAATCGAAACAGTGAGGTACAGGCATAAAGACAGATATATAAACCAATATATGGTCAAATAATTTTCAACAAGAAGATGGAGAAAGAACAGTCTTCTCAACAAACAGTGCTAGGAAAATTAGATATCCATGTGTAAAAGAATGAAGTTAGATCTTTCCCTTGTGTACAATGATAAACTCAAAATGGATCAAAGAGCTAAACATAAGAGCTGACAATATAAAATCTGTTAGTTGAAAACATGAGAAAAGCTTTATGACACTGGAGTTCTCAATAATTTTTGGATGTGATATTAACAGCACAGAAAAATAGATAAATTAGACTACCTCAAAATTTTAAAACTTTTGTGCATCAGAGAACACTGACAGCATAGGATAACAGAAGAAAATACTTGATAATAATGTACAGTATCTGATGAGACATTAATACCCAGAAAGTTTAAAGAATTCTACAACTCAACAGTAAAAGAAGAAATAACCTGATTTTAAAACAGTTAAAGGGTTTGAATAAATATTTCTCCAAAGAAGGAATTCAGGTTGCCAATAAGCACATGAAAAGATGTTCCACATCACTAATTATTAGAGAAATACAAAGAAAATCCATAATTAGATACCACTTTGCGTGCAGTAGGATGGCAATTATTTACAAAAACAAGTAAAAAGAGAAAAGTAACAGGTATTGGAGAGGATGTGGAATAATTAATTTGAACCCTTGTGGGATTGTAAGTTGGTGCAGTTATTGTGAGAAACAGTACAGTAGTTCCTCAGAACGGTAAAAGTAGAATTATCATATGATCCAGTAATTTCCACATCTAGGTACATAACCAAAAGAATTGAAATCAGGGGATCAAAAAGTGTGCATATATCGGTGTTCATAGCAGCACTGTCCACAATAGCCCAAAGGGGGAAGTAACCCAAGTGTCCGCCAATGGATAAATGGAAAAACAGAATGTGGTATATTTATGCATTGGTATATTTATGTGGTATATTTAACTGAATGTGGTACATTTATGTATTATTTATCTGTCTTGAGGATGGAAGGAAATTCTGACACAGGCTACAACATGGGTGCACCTTGAAGACATTATGTTAAATGAAATAAACTAGTCACAAAAGGTCAAATACTATGTGATTCTAATTGTACAAGGTACCTAGAATAGTCAAAATCATAGAGACAGTAAGAATGGTGGTAGGAGGGGTAGGAGGAAAGGAGAATAGAAAGAATGCAGTTTCATGTGGGGAATATGAAAAAAGTTCTGAACATGGAAGGTGGTAATGATTGCAAAACAATGGAATATGTTTAATGCCACTAAACTTTATACTTTAAAATGATTAAGATAATAAATTGTATATTTTAATCACAATTTGAAAATATTTTTAATTTTAAATCAAAAAGGCACAAAAATATACTGTATGATTTCATTTACTTAAGATGCAAAGGTTTTACATGTGGGGATATTTGTTACCCTCAGGAGAGGAAAGTAACTGGAAAGATCCAAGGAGAGGCTTCTAAGGTCCTGGTAATGTCAATCTTGTAACATGGCTGTGTATAATTTATGAAATTCTTTGAGCTGTCCATTTATAATTTGTGTGTTTTTCTATACAAATGTTATACTGCACTTATTCCTAAAATGTTGATCATGGGACCCCACAGGAAACCTCCAGAATCAGAATGTCTAGTAGTGTTGCTTGAGGACCTTACCTTTGAAAAGAAAATCCCCTCAGCCCTGGGATTTAGCTCAGTGGCATCGTGCCTGCCTTGCAAGAGCAAGGTCCTGAGTTCGATCCCCAGTACAAAAAAAAAAAAAAAAAAAGAAAGTCCCATTTCAACTTTTTCTTAGAAATATTTGATTTTGAGAATCTTTTCTAAAAGAAAGAGATTATGCATCTCCTTCCAATGCTCAAGATTTCTTCAGTTCTACCCTTAAAATAAATATTCCTCAGAAAGAAACTAGTGTTTTAATTAAGTCACTTTATCTTCTGTTAGGAAAATACATGGCATCTTTTAGGTGCTAAGAAAGCAATGACATATAGAAATGTATAGTTTTATATTTTCTATTTAAAATATTCAAATGTGCTATGACACAATTTAGGAATATTTATCTATAAGCATGGAAAACAGTTTTATGGATACCTCTAAACTATGGCAGGTGCTAGGACCTAGTGGAATCTGGCAGCCTCATTTGAAGATGAAATATCACCGTGAGGCGTGGTATCTGAGCAAGCAGGTACAGAAAATCCAGTTCTTCCACATGTAAGCCACCAAGACTCCATTCAGTTCTCTTCATACTATCTCCAAGATTAACGCAGTCTTTATCCTTGCTTGTTAAACTGACAGCATGTTTGTTGCAAAGGCTTTTTTGGAAGGGGCAGGACGGGGCCTTGGAGAAGCTCTGGGAGGCCTTCTTGGAGGTGGTCAGAGAAGAGGAGGAGGAGGAGGAGGAAATATTGGAGGGCTAGTAGGAGGAATTGTGAATTTCATCAGCGAGGCTGCTGCAGCTCAATACACTCCAGAACCACCTCCCACTCCTCAGCATTTCACCAATGTGGAGGCTTCCGAAAGTGAGGAAGTTAGGCGGTTTCGGCAACAATTTGCACAGCTGGCTGGACCAGACATGGAGGTGGGTGCCACTGACTTGATGAATATCCTCAACAAAGTCCTTTCTAAGCACAAGGAACTCAAAACCGATGGCTTTAGTCTTGACACCTGCCGGAGCATTGTATCTGTTATGGACAGTGACACCACTGGGAAGCTGGGCTTTGAAGAATTTAAGTATCTGTGGAATAACATCAAGAAGTGGCAGTGTGTCTATAAGGAGTATGACAGAGACCACTCGGGGTTTCTGAAAAGTTCTCAGCTGCAGGAAGCTCTGCAGGAAGCTGGCTTCCAGCTAAATGAACAACTTTACCAAATGATTCTCCGGCGGTATGCTGAGGATGACGGAGGTATGGATTTTAACAACTTCATCAGCTGCCTGGTCCGCCTGGATGCCATGTTTCGTGCCTTCAAGTCTCTGGACAGAGATGCAGATGGCCTGATTCAGGTGTCTATCAGAGAATGGCTGCAGCTGACCATGTATTCCTGAAGTGAGCAGAGAACCGAGGTCTCCCTGGAGGACAAGACTGCTGAGAACCTTGCCACACTGTCCACAGTTGCTGTCACCCTTCCAGCAGCAGTCATTTCACGGAGAGGTTTCATAACCCTACACATTTCTGATTGTTGGCTTCCTTTTACGGCTTAATTAAAAGTTTTTTTTTAAAACGAAAATTGTTTTGAGTGGTTTGTATGTCAGCTTTTTAAAATATTGGATTTATATAGACATATATGTGACTGGGAGGAATGGGGTAGATTTTTAAAGGTTGTTGCTTATTCTGTGAATGGATTCCAAGGAGTTGGAAATTTATCATTGTTGTGGCTGTTATTAATAATTAAATTTTTAAGAAATGCTGGAATAAATCAAAGCACTCAGGAGGTATGTTTTTTCCCTTTACAAAGGTGTAGATGGGCCAGGGATTTAGCTTAGTGGTTCCACCGCCTGCTTTCCAAGCAGAAGGACCCAAGTTCGATCCCGGTACCAAAAAAAAAAAAAAAGATTTATACAAAGGTGTAGAGGGAAGTTAAATATCTGTTTTTCTCATAATTTCACATCTGGTCTTTCTATTCTGTAAAAAAAATGAAAAGTGCTTTCTAGGGAACCTATTTATTTGTGTAGAATCAGTTTCAGAAATGTGAAGTTAAGCAATTTTATGTAAGTGTAACATTTTTTAAAATGATGGAGCAACTATCTAAAATTCTAGAGTTTTTGGTTCTATTTTCTAGTAAAATAAACCTATGCTAGTTTTGTTTTGATATGTTCATAGAGAAAATCAAAGGCATGGAGGAATAAAAGGGTATACACGTGTCATAAACATCTTTGGCTGCCTTAATGAATCCAAATGATCACTCATACATATTTCATACAGAGTGAGGCATGCCTAACAGTTGTTAGCTAGGCAACTCTTGTCGTGTCTTGCCCTACCTTAGAGCAAGGAAAATTCTTTTGCTTCCTTTGAAAATTGTAGGCAGAAAAACAAAAAATACAAATGATAATCAGTTAAATGGGATATAAAGCAATATGCAGAACAAATATTATTGACTCTTATTGCAGTGGTTCCTTGCCCTGGCTGCAATTTCAGATCACTAGAAGAATTCTTTAGAAAGACTAATACCTGAACCCACTCTAAATAAGTTAAACATGTTTCTATAGAGGTGGGGCCCATAGATGAATATTCTCAAAGCTTCCCTGATGAGTCTAATAAGCGTCCAAAGTTGACAGCCTTAACTGCTTTGAAGTATGGCTATCTTTCACTGTTTTTCAAATGTGTCTCAGCTAAAACTGAGGCCAAACAGAAGAGTCAATGTTGCCATTGTTGAGGAAAAGAAAGACAGGAATAGTGAGAAACTGTCACCCCTAAACTGGACTAGTCTACTAGTCTTAACCTTTCTTGTGTATAGCCCTTATTTTGATTTTATAATTTTGATATAGGCTGTTATAGGGGAGCAAGCAGAATTCATGATCTTTGTGCAAGTAGATTCAGCAAGAGGCTGCATTTGCAAATGCTCAGTTCCTGTGCCTGCTATTTACTTGATCTCCACCCCTTCTGGTGCTCTTTTAATACAGTCCCTCTGTGCCAAGTTACTTTGAAGGGTCTTCCTGAGCACAAAGATAAATTCTTTCTTTTCCTTTCACTATTTTAGAAGAAAGTTGTCACTGTGGAAATCATGTAACTAGCCTATTAAGAGCCCCTATCTGCCTGTTAGAAATCCCCAGTGAACACTGGGAGAAGTTGGTGTTTGCCCTCTACATTTACCATCATCACCATCATATAATATTTATGAAACTCCATGCACATATAATTCTGAACTGAGCCAAGCACAGAAATCACATTCGCTTACCTCAAGGGACTTGTAATTCAGCTTGGTCTGTCAAGCTACTTAGACCAGGTGTGGTTATATAAGCAGGAGGTTACTGCCAGCAACCACACATTAATATCAATCTCCCTATTTTAGAATTACCCCAGGAATATGTCAGGAATAAGTATAGGAGAGCAGCCAGGAGAGGGCGAAAGCTGCCAAGATGTCTTTTAAGGACTCAGAATATTAAGTTTATAACAATTTTTTAACGTAATTCTTAAGGAAAGCACAATTTGTGGTTGCATTTTTTGTTCCAAACTTCATTTTAAATATTTTATAAAAGTTAACATAAACATCTCATACTAGGGGTGGTATTAAGTCTCTTGTTCGTCAAGTTGAGGGATTATCTGCTTTTATGTTTCTCTCCCAGTACATCCATGGAGAAACTCCAGAAGCTAAGTTTCTCCACTGAATTTGTATCAAATTTACATAAATAACCTCACACACAAGCATGGATACTAGAAAATTCACCCCAAGCTCTAGATTTCTCCAAGTAACCAAACATATATTTATGTATGTGGGTGGAAGTGTACTTGTAGTCAGAATATCCAGGTAGAAAGTATACCTTTTCCCTGATTTTTTAAAAGAGCTGATAATTTACTGTATTTCAGTAATAATACTCATTTGGATTTATACATTATCTTAAAAGATTTAAAGATTTCGCTCATGGTGGGTTGCTGAAAATTAAATTGTTTTATGTAAACATCTTAAAATTATTTTTAGGACATTGATTATTGTTCATTTGCAGAGATTATATTACATCAATTACAAAACAACAGTGAGAAAATACTCCCTATTCTTGGCAATTTACCATTGCAAAATGTATTTAAAACCATATTCTTTTTTGTTATTTTCTAAAACTAAATCAAAAATTTATTGAAACTATCAACAAAAAAGTTTGGTTGAGCTGAACAGCTTAAGCTGTTAAAAATTCTCATTTTTAACATTTAAATTTACATTAATGGATACATCCATGCTATGTTAAAGACTATGTAAATAAATGTTTCCATTTTCCTATAACTATACTGACCAAAAACCATATCCTTAAATATTGCTAGATTTAAAAAGTTCAATAGAGTATCTGATTTCTTATGAATACAAATTTTGAATGAATCCAACTGTGAAATAAACTGAAAGAACTGATCACTGACAATCAGACCATTTATTCTTTCTAAAGTTTTGAATGGGGAGTGTTTGAATAAGTGGCTTAGAACTTCCCACTGACCAGCAGGGTGTGGATGAGTAGATGAAAGGTGTTGGGTAATTGTGGCCCCCTGTGCACCCTACATGCATTTCCAAGCTTTTCTGATCCTGCTGACTTCCTGGGAAGAGAGGAGGCCCAAGTCTAGAGATTTCCTGGGACTCAGTGTAATTTCACAGCATTCCTGGGCTCCAGATTGATACAGGAAGGAACAGGGTCTTCCTCCAGATAACTGGTCTCTTCCTTTGAAATGTGGCTCTGAAATATTTTCTAGACTGGATTTTTAATTTAAGTTCATAATTCTTCTGGTGAATTCAGTAAATTTTTAAAGGAAAGAACTTCAGACTTGTGAAATAAATGTTTTACCATGAAAATGATTTAAACTAAATAAAGTATATGTTGCTATCTAAACTTTTTTTGGTTTTGGGAATATATTTTATCAAACTATTTGCCTTAGTTTGAGTGATTGGTAGTCAGACTGCCTAAATTGTTTTTATTCATTAATTTTATTGGTATGTTTTAGGTATAAAATATGTTGACTTTCATTATTGGGAATTTGTGCCTTTACATAATATATCTTGGTTCTTATTTTTTCCCCATTCCCCTGCTCTCCCTTCAACACCTCCACCCCTCTATATTTACAAAGATGTTGTTTCCATTTTTTTCTTTTCTCATATTTATTCCTTTCTGTTCTTTCCTTTCCCCTACTCCTCCCATTTCCCCTTCCACTTTGGACCTTTTCTTCCTATTTCACATTATCTATTATACATTTTGATCCTTATTTATACTTTCAATTTCTCATATCAGAGAAACTATTCATATTTACACATGTGTCCTATTTATTTCACTCAAGAGTATGGCCTCAATGTGCAACCATTAAGCTATAAATGTCTCTAGTTTCTCATTCTTTATAGCTGAGTAATACTCAATCTTATTTAAAAAAACACATTTTCTTTATCTAGTCTCCAGGTGATGGGCAATTGGGCTGTTTCCAAGTTTTAGCTATTACAAACTGTGCTGCTATGAACATGGGTGTACATATATCACTGTGGTACAATTCTTTTCATTCTTTTGGGAAGATACCCAGCAGGGAAGGAGCTGGGTTGAATGGGACCTCTAATCTTAGTTCTTTGAGGTGTCTCCATAGTGATTTCCACAGTGGTTGCACCAGTCTACACACCTACCAACAGTGGAGAAGGGTTCCTTTTTCCTGATCTTTTTAAAGTTATTTATTCTAGATAGTAGACCTTTGTCTGAGGAACAGCTGGTAAAAATTTTTTCCCACATTGTGGTTGCCTCTTCATACTGTTGGTGATTTTTCTTGCTGTGAAGAAGCTTTTTAATAAGATGATATCCCACTTGTTGATTCTTTATGCTAATTTACATACAAGTGAGGTTTTGTTCATGAAATCCTTCCCTATGCCAGTGTCTTCAAGAGTTCTACCTAGGCTCTCTTCCAACCGATTTTGTGTTTCTGTTTTAATATTTAGATCTGTAATCCATTTTCATTTTAGTTTAGTGAATAGTGAGAGATATAGCTCTAGTTTTAATCTTTGGGAAGTTGAAACCCAATTTTTCCAGCACCATTTATTAAAGAAGCTATCTTTCCACCAGTGAGGGTGTTTGGCTTCTTGTCGAAGATGAGGTGGCTGAGTATGTCTGGAGTTGTTTCTGCATCTTCTCATCTTGTTCCACTGATCCTCCCGTCTGTTTCTTTGCCAGTGCCATGTTGTTTTTATCACAGTAGCTTTGTAGTATAGTTATCTACCTTGTCTTTGTTGTCTAGAATTGCTTTTGCTTTTCTAGGTCTCTTCTGGTTCCAAATGAATTTTTGGATTGTTTCCTCAAGTTCTGTGAAGTATGCTCTTGGAATTTCAATTGGGATTGCATTGCATCTATACAGCAGTTTTGGAAGTATGGCCATTTTCACTATATTGATTCTTCCTACCCAGGAGGAAAGGATATCTTTCTAAATATCTTATAGAAATCAGCAGTGACACCATCAGGACCTGGGCTTTTCTTAGTTAGAAAGTTTTTAATTTTGTTGATTGATATTGGGTTGTTTAGAATTTTTATATCTTCTTCGTTCAACTTTGGTAATTCATACCTATCTAGAAATCTATCTATTTCTTTGGTGTATATAATCTTAGTGGTGTATAGGTTCTCAAAGTAGGCATTGATGATCCTCTGGATTTCTGCTGGGTCCATTGTAATTTCACCCTTTCCATTCCTAACTGCATGGATTTGGGCCTTTCCTTTCCTTTTTTAAATAAGATTTGCTAAGAGTTTATCAATTTTGCTTATTCTTTTGAAGAACC